CTGGCGCCCTCGGCAAATGGTTGCTTTTTGTTGACTTCGTTCCATTCTGTTTTGTGACGTGTCTATTTTATTTTACATTGAGAAAATACGCATCATAACAAAGTCTAATAGGAATTCAGTAATAGTTTTTTAATGACTGCTTTGTTGAGTTATAAACTCATAACATGTTTCATCTATTTGAAGTATATAATTCATCGGTTTTTATTATATTCATGCAATTGTGCTACCTTTATCAAATCCAGTTTTAAGGGGCGCTTGGGTGGCTCAGTGGGTTAAAGCCTCTGCCTCCGGCTCAGGTCATGATCCCGGGGTCCTGGAATCAATCCCCACATCGGGCTCTCTGCTCAGCGGGGAGCCTGCTTCCCCCTCTCTCTCTGCCTGCCTCTCTGCCTACTTGTGAACTCTGTCTGCCAAATAAATAAATAAAATCTTAAAAAAAAACGTTTTAAAACATTTTTATCACACTTCATACCAAACGCTGTACCCACTCCCTGCCCTCCCAGCCCCTTGAGACACGAATCTACTTTTGGTCCCTACAGATAGCAAACTGTTCTTAAGCCAGGATTTAAACTGTACCTTCCCTCCCTTGAGATGAAGTTGCTACTGAAGTCTTGCATTTGTTAACCATTGCTGCAGAACAAAGTAACCCAAAATTTAGCAGCTTAAGGCAACATACATTTATTTTCTCACAGTTTTTGTAGAGCAGGAATCCAGGTAGCACTGGAGCTGGGGCCTCTGCTCCAGGATCTCTCACAAGGCAGCCCTGTGTGGCCTGGGATGCTGTCTTATCTGAAAGCTTAACTGGGGAAGGATCTGCTTCCAAGTTCACTTTCACTGTTTTTGGCAGGACTCGGTTCCTTGAGGATTATTGGACTGAAGTCTTACTTCCTCCCTGGCTGTTGGCTGGAGGCCGCCCTTGCTTCCTTACTGCACGGGCCGTCCCAGTATGGTGGCTCACGTCATCAAAGCCAACACAAGAGAGACTCTACTAGCAAAACAGGAGTCACAATCTCTTGTAACCTAATCACAGAACCTACATTCCCTCAACATCACTATATTCTTTGGTTAGAAGCAGGTTACTAGGGGCGCTGGGGTGGCTCAGTGGATTAAGCCTCTGCCTTCAGCTCAGGTCATGATCTTAGGGTCCTGGGATTGAGCCCCACATCGGGCTCTCTGCTTGGCAGGAAGCCTGCTCCCCCACTCCTGCCTCCCGCTCTGCCTGCCTCTCTGCCTACTTGTGATCTCTCTCTCTCTCTCTCTCTGTCAAATAAATAACTAAAATCTTTATTAAGAAAAAGAAAGAAGCACATTACTAAAGGAGAAGAAATTATACAGGGCCATGATTACCAGGAGACGGGGAGCACTGGGGCCATCTTGGAGGTTCTGTGCCAAAACCGTCCTGCAACGCATCCATGAGATCTGTAAGTTATTTAGTACCTCTCTAGTACATTTCTTTTTGGGTTGAACTAGCCAAAATTGATGACTCTTGTTTGCACCCGGACCAATAAATGTGTTTGTTGCTTACCAGGCAATTTTGTGATTCTGATTTCTATTGATCTAGCTCCCTTCTCTACAAGGTATAAGCTATTTGATAAAGTTATTAACACTGTTTGTTACTCCTTCTTCCCCCAAAGTTATCAATTCTGCATCTGAATAGTTCAGTGTCTCAGAGCCAACTAGCCAACATCCATCTGAAAACTAGTTTGGATATTAATATCCACAAAGATCAGAGAAGAGAGGTTAAGAACCTCTCAAATTAGCCCTATCAAAATTGGAAAACTGAGTCCTGTTAATAGAACAGCCTCATATTCAGGCCAGGGTTTTTGTAGTTTGTGTTCATTTGGGCTATGGCCAGAAGGTTGCTTTCTTCCTTAGAGGTTCTGCAGAATTTTAGTATCAGAAATCCAGAGTGAACTAGCTTGAGTAAGAAAAAGGGATTGGTTGGCTCCCATAACTAGGAGAAATACCAGGAGACACACAGGGTCAAAGGAGCCGTAGAACTGGGAGCTGCAACCAGCAGCGCAGGGCAGGCAGCTCTCCTCCTAACTCTTGTTGGCACCTCCACTATCTTCATGTCCCACTCTCTTGGCCTCATTCTCTACTATTGCAGTCATACCTTGGTGTGTGACCTTTAGTGTTTGAGCAAGAAGGGAGAGAAGAGCTGGGTCAGGTGTTTACTGCCAGGGCTTCTACACCAGGCCGGGCCTGGGTTCCGTGGCCACATTCCTGTTGCCAGAAGAAGGGCCATGCAAAACCAGTAGCCACTCCAGCCCAGGGCAGAGCAGCCATGTGAGCGATCCCTGCAATACCGGAGATTCCAAATAGGACAAGACAATGCTGTCATCTGTGATAAGGCCCGGTCTGGGAGCCGTACACCGAATGGATTCTTTTGTGGCCAGTGTCTTTCATGGAGTCTTGGAATTCACTTTATTGCAGCCGAGGTCCAGAGTCTTAATCCACTGGGGAGACAGAGTCACATTGAATTTTTCCATTACAGACCTCACTTGTTCCCCAACTACTTGACAGTTGGGAAAAAATTGTATGTAGAGACATGAAAGCCAGGGAAGACATGGAAAATGCTGTCCATTTCATAGACTCATGACCAAGGTTAAGTTATAGCAACAAGAAAGACCAGAGTTTTTCATATACTCTGACTTTCTGTGATTTATGGGCAGGTTGTTTTTCTGTTTTTAACCTTTCAAGTAGGGAAGGACTTGTCAACCTCATGAAAACCACATGTATTCGGAGACTCATTAATCTTAGTGCCAAAGGCAAGTCTTGCTTTTAGATCCATATAGATATGGACTGAAACCAAGATCAGTAGGACTTGACTTTTGGGAGATGTAATATGGTTCTACCTTTAAATATGTATATTGACACTGAAGTTACCCTAGTAATTCTTCTAAAGAAGTGTTATAATGGGCTCCCAAAATGCATCCTGTCCTGGAGCCATTCACAATTGTTCCGTGATGGACTCACAGTTGATGGCTTGTTCTTTGCCAGTTCTTGATGGAGGGCCTGTGTGTGCCATGACTGGGAGCAATTGTGCAGGATAATCCGCCTGATCCCACCTGCTTATAGCTTGGTTTAGAATTGTCTGCCAAGGTGAGGAAGTGGCTCGCTTTTATTTTATTTGGTTTTATTTTATTTTTTAAGATTTTATTTATTCCTTTGACAGAGGGAGACACAGCGAGAGAGGGAACACAAGCAGGGGGAGTGGAGGAGGAAGAAGCAGCCTTCCCGCTGAACAGGAAGTCTGATGCGGGGACCAGATCCAGGGACTCCAGGGTCATGACCTGAGCCAAAGGCAGACACTTAACAACTGAGCCACCCAGGCGCCCGGAAGCAGCTCACTTTTAAATTTAGATTAGGGTCCAATGTGGAGGATGATGGCGGAGTATAGAGAAGTAAAGATAAAACCTAGCTGGTGTCTCCTAGAGGCAGAGTGGAGTGTAGCGGTTAGGAGCTCTGTTCTTGGTTCAGACAGACTAGGGTTTGACTCTTAGCAAAGACACCTCCTAGCTTTGTGACACTGGGAAATTAGTTAACTTCTTTAAGCCTTGGTTTTCTCGGATGAATACCCAACTTTTGCACCAACATGGACAGGACTGGAGGAGATTATGCTGAGTGAAGTAAGTCAAGCAGAGAAAGACAATTAGCATATGGTATCACTTATTTGTGGAACATAAGGAATAACATGGAGGACATTAGGAGAAGGAAGGGGAAAATGAAGGGGGGAAATCAGAGTGGGAGACAAACCATGAGAGACTGTGGACTCCAGGAAACAAACTGAGGGTTTTAGAAGACAGGGGGATGGGGGGGTGGGGGTGCGTGAGCCTGGCGGTGGGTATTAAGGACGGCACGGATTGCATGAGCACTGGGTGTTGTACACAATGAATCCCAGAACACTGCATCAGAAACCAATGATGTAGTATGGCGGCAAACATAACATAATGCAAAAGAAAAAGCCTTGGTTTTCTTATCTATATAATGGGTCTAATAATATATAAACCATATAGGATTATTTGAGGTGTTTTTCATAAGGCAATCCAAGGAAGACGTTCAGCGTTGTGTGGGCGTATTGCTGTGAAAGCACTAGTAGTTGTGGTCATCTCAGAATCGTGGTTTTGAGGATCCCAGGTGTCCCCTCCACACCATGCTTTCATAACCTCTCCTGAGTCTTCGTATAAAGAGCCACCTGCCGCTGCCACATGGAGGGCAGTACCGGGTCTCTTGGCAGAGGCTTTGGAACTAGGTCAACTTGGGTTTATATGCAGGATTAACTCTCAGAGATCCAGTTTTTCAGCTGTGAAGTGGGACAGTACGGTGTGTTATGAGGCTTAAGGATAATACATTTAAGTGGGTGGCAGATAACGCGCTCCACTTAAGCAGGCTTTAACAACATCCCCCACCCGGCCATCCTTGCGATTCCAGGTCATGGTGTTGGTGTAAGGGGAACTTCGGAAGCCGCATTGTTGGTGTCCCTGCCGTCAGTTCTATTCTCATTCTTACCCGTCCTGAGCCAGACCTCACTGCTCTTGAGTCTGGCCTGATTCCACTCAAACCAGGGCCTATGGAGCGATGAGGATGGTACTGCCCTTTAGAAATATGGTCTTCATGTAACACTCTTCCTAGCGTGGAAATTTCGAGGCAACATGGAGAGCAGGCATGTGCGGCTGCGTTACAGATACACACTAACGTGATGAGGACTTTGCATCAAGACTGTCAAGGAACATCAGCAAATAAAAGATTTGTTGGATGGAGAAAAAGTTATGTTCAAAGGTCAAGGTTCCTTGAGGAAAGTTCTCTCCGCATCTGCCCAGTGCAGGAAGGCTGCAAATCAGCACCAAGGGCTGCATTTCCCCAAGTTATCAGTTCTTCCTCCACATTGCACACTGCTCCGGACACCGTTTCCCGAGCGTTTCTGTGCAGAGAAAGAAGCCTGGGGTGTGTAGAAGCTTGTGACGTTTGCTGACATTGTCCCTGCTTGTGTCTTGCAGCCTACTTCTGCTTCCTCCTGAACGCCCTGGGCGTGACAGCCAGTGCCCATCGCCTGCGGAGCCACAGGTCCCACAAGGCCCAGCTGCCCCTGAGGATATTCCTGGCTGCTGCGTACTCCATGGCTTCCCAGGTGGGGATGGAGGGTCCATTCTGGCTTCGAGACCCAGCACAGATGGCAGCGTGGGGACCGCACAGATCTGCTCCCTGTGGAGTGGTCATTCTGCCATCCCCATTCCAGCCTCAGGGCTCAGGTCCCCAAGCATTCCCTGTCTGTCCCAAGTTTTTGTCTCCTTGTAGCTTTAGATGTGACAAAATGTCCCCCAGGGGCTTTGTACCCCTAGGAATACTAAACCACAGAGGAGGAAAGAGATACCTCCGCCCAAAGCCCATGCCCTAAACCCCTCAGCGTTCATCCAGCTCTAACCAGGGCCGAGTTCTGTGCTGAGCCTGCTGTCAGCGTATCGGACTTGACCCTCACAGTCACCCCAGGAGCTGGGTGTCGTATGTGTCCTCACTTACAGATGAGAACTAAGATTTATTGAAGTCAAGGAACTGGACAGATTGTATGGTTAGAAGCAGTAATAGGCAAATGCGCGTCCCACTCTCCGGCTGTTGCTTCTAGAAAACGTACCCCTGAGGTCGCCCTGTACGTCTATGGTAGAGGGCTGTTGAAGACAGTGCTGGAAGACAGGATTTGGGTCTTACTTCGATGTTGCTGGCTGTGAACCCCTTACTGTCTCCAGTTTCTTCATCTGTAAAAATCAGAGTATGACTTCACTCTCACAGCTATTACAGAATAATTGAGAATTGCAGGGAACTATAAAAATGTAACAGAGCGTCCTCGCGGCCCTGGGATTGGGCTGTATCCTTTAGGACTATTCTAGTAGTGGAACATTCCCCACCAGCTTGTGCACTTTCTGAGCTGCTGGATTCTGAGTTGACTGTGGATTTCTGTTTCTCCGGTTCCTCCTCGGATCCAGGTAGGATGTGTGGGAACTATTGCTTTGGAGTTTCTGCTGATACGTGAATGCAGACGATTCCAGGCCCCATGCCATCTTCACCCAGAGAGTTCTGAGATGGTGATTCTCAAAACTGCTTTAGGGTCCAGGGAAACAGGCAACCCAGGAGCCCACCTGTGATGCTCAACCACGCAAGCCACGTGGCCACCTGCGCAGTGGGCCTCCCGTCCCCATGAGACAGCCTGACCCTGAGCATTCCTCCAGGTTGCGCTCATGTTTGAGGTTTCATTTCCTCATTTCATTTCCCCATTCATTTCCCGCGGTTCAAGCCTTCATAAGGCACGTAGGATACAGCACAGTAGATCGCTCAGGGAACACAGTTCTTGTTACGGATGTCTACAGGTTATGATTCAAGCACAGTTAGGAATTAGTCCCAGGGTCCCAGGGAAAAGCTGTTGCACACAAAGGAGCGGTGGGCGCTTCTCTGTTTTGTGTTCTGTTCCTCACCATGGGCGATGCAGACTAGCCCACACGCTGTTCTGACTTCAGTCGTCTTAGCTCAGTGTTGTGCTTTGGTTATCCTAACAATGAGTTATGATAATGATCATTTAGAAATGCAGTGACTTGGGTCTTAGATGCTATTTAGGACTGAAGTTGGTAATTTTCATTTGTTTTGTTTGAGCAGTTCATTATTTCTAGCCTTCAGTTACACTCTCATGATGTGGTTATAAAGCACCTCTATATTAAAAAAACTTTTTCCAACATAAATAACTTGAAATTGAGAACATAAAATTCTTATTCCTCTTTTCCCAAGGAAACTATTTATTTACAACTCAATTTTCGATAACCTAAGTTTCCTTAACATAGCATCACATAACAGAACATCACACTGTGATTTTAACTTTACGCTGGGGAGAAAGCACATTGCACAGGGAAACACCCAGGTCCCGGAATAAATTCTTGGCTCTGTCATTTGCTGGATGTGGGTCTTTGTGCAAGTCTCTCTTCCCGTATACACAAGGGCAGGGGAAATAAATAATGTTTACCTCACAGGGTTGTTGGAAGGATGAAATAATGCGTAAAAAGTGCCCGTCTTACAGTTGCACTCCCCTCGTCTTTATGAGAACTGGCATACTGTCTCATTCATTTCTCTGTTTTGGTGCCTGTCATGTCAAAGGCACTCAATGATAGCTTGTAAAGAAATGAGAAATGAATACTTTTAAAAAATATGTTTAGAAATCATCAAATTTGAACAATGCGTACTTCTTTTAGGCCCACATTTGCAGTGGATTTTTTTTTCATTCATTTAAGAAATGTTCATTGAGCATCTACTATATGCCAGGCACTGAGCTAGGCACAGTGGGTATAATGATTAGCAAACACAGTCACAATCCTTGCCTTCCTCCAGCCTTCCATTTAGTGGAATATTAGAATTCCTACAATGTCCCAGTGGAAATGTCAGCACTTCATGGATCTAGGGTTTCTAACAATGTCACTTAGAGGTATCTGTAAGATCAGCATCCAGCCAGCTTCCACACGGTGCATAACAGCGTCAGTGGGAAGGAATACAGTCGATTTAGACCACTTAACCCTGGGGCAAGAACAGCCTGGGAGAGTGAAAATGTGCCGTGACCTGTCTGTGTCAGGTACAGACCCACAACCCCTATTTAATGCAGAGTCATTGGTTTAGTTTCCCCCACAACCCCTATTTAATGCAGAGTCATTGGTTTAGTTTCCCTTCGATGCCCTCGTGGGTTTTTAAAGATCATTTCAAGGGTTTTCTGTGCTTTTCTCAATCCGGGTGGTCATGCCTTTGGCCAAAATGGACTAGTGATGCCATGGTGGTCTGTGTTTGAAGATGAGCAGGGTTTTTGTTAGAAGCTGCAAACGAGGTCTTCAAGAACAATATTCTTAACACTGGGGCTTAAACGTTTGCAATTCCCTCCTCTCTTTCTTCTAAAGAGAGTGTATGTACATGGGACAGGATCGATACTGGGAAAGGTGGGGGGTTTTGATCATTCAGAAGACAATGATGGGGTGCCTGGGTAGCTCAGTCATTAAGCATCTGCCTTTGGCTCAGGTCATAATCCCAGGATCCTGGGATCGAGTCCCATATCGGGCTCCCTGCTCAGCAGGAAGCCCGCTTCTCCCTCTCCCACTCCTCTTGTTTGCATTCCCTCTCTGTCTCTCTTTCTCTGTCAAATAAAAAAATAAAATCATTTTTTTCCTTTTTTTTTTAAAGATTTTATTTATTTTTTTGACAGACAGAGATCACAAGTAGGCAGAGAGAGAGAGAGAAGCGGCTCCCTGCTGAGCAGAGAGCCTGATGCAGGGCTCGATCCCAGGAACCCTGAGATCATGACCTGAGCCAAAGGCATTGGCTTAACCCACTGAGCCACCCAGGTGTCCCAAATAAATAAAATCTTAAAAAAAAAAAAAAGATGACGATGGGCCAGGAATGCTAGATAAGGGGCTGGATAAGGGGCTATGAAAATCCTCCATCCCTTACGTTCAGCAGAGGCCCCCTGAGTTCCTCTCTGGCCCATTCTCCTCCCTGATCAGTAAGGTGCAAGTCAACCAAAAATGTGGCTCGCAAACTCCTTATAGTTTTCTTCTAGTCAAATATGGGCCCAGGTAGGATTTTCCTGCCATCCATTGGTCTCCAGGAGTTCGGTTTTCACAGGCAGTAGCCAGACTTGGGTTTGTGCTCTCGCACTCATGCACACACCCCTTCTGGCCGCAGCTGGGCCCTCATGAACTCTGCAAAAACGCCTGTTAGAGGCTGCAGCTTCCTATCTGCCTGCCCACGTTTCTCATCACATCCTGGTACCCAGGATCCGGATCTTGAACTGGAAAGGAGGTTAAGGGATTTAGTCTAAATCCTCTTATTTTGGGTCGTGATCTCAGGATCCTGGGATCGAGCCCCACATCGGGCTCTCTGCTCAGCAGGGAGCCTACTTCCTCCTCTCTCTCTGCCTGCCTCTCTGCCTACTTGTGATCTCTGTCTGTCAAATAAATAAATAAAATCTTAAAAAAAATCCTCTTATTTTGCAATAAAAGGTAAAGAGAAGGGTGAAGAGACGCCAGAGAATGTCCGTGACTAGTGAAAGGTCACACGGCTGCTCGGAGGAGAGACCAGACTGAAACCGATCTCCTGACCCTCGGGCCGGGGAGCCTCCAGGCCCACCCGTGGGTGTTCTTGGGTGATGTCCAGCCCTGTGATTTGTGAACAACTTAGAATTGGCTCTTGTTTTACCCACTGTGACATCCTGTCCTTTAAGTGGTTTATTTAAAGTATTCACACTCAGAGTGATTACTGATCTAGTTGGGTTTGCGTCGACTATGTTTCTGTTGGCTACTCATTGCCCTTGTTCTTTGTACCTTTTTTCCGTCTTCCCTGGTTTTAACTGCACATTTTACATGATTCTGTTTTCTCTCTCCTTTTAGCATATCTGCCCTACTTCTTTTTACAGTTGGGTAGTGGCTGCCCTAGACGTCGCAGTATACATTTACAACTAACCCAAAGCCACTTTCAAATAACGTGATAGCATTTCCCATTAGTGCAGCAACCTTGTAACAGAGCATTCCCAGTTCCTCCTTCCTGTCCGCTATTTGTTGCTGTCATTAAGCTATAACCACTAAATACATTGTTGCTGCTATCTGTTAGATCGGTTAAGAATAAGAGAAAGTGAAGGGGACACCTGGGTGGCTCAGTCATTTAAGTGTCTGATTCTTGGTTTGGGTTCAGGTCATGATCTCAGGGTGGTGAGATTGAGCCCTGCCTCAGGCACCATGCTCAGCACAGAGTCTGCTTGAGATTCTCTGCCTCCGCCCCTCACCCCCACACCTTGCCTGCATGTGTGTGCACTCCCTCCCTAAAATAAGTAAAATCTTTAATAGAATAGGAAAAATAGAAGATTTTATTTTACTTTCATTTATTCGTTCTCTAATGCTCTTCTTTCTTTAGGTCGATCTGGGTCTCTAACCACTCCCATGTTCCTTCTCTTTAAAGAACTTTCATGTCTTGCAAGGCAGGTCTACTGGTAACAAATTCCCTCAATTTTTGTTTGTCTGATAAAGTATTTTTTGAAGATTTTTTTTTTAATTTATTTGGGTGAGAGAGATAGCATGAGTGGGAAGGAAGGGCAGAGAGAGAGACAGAAACAGACTC